CTGTTTCTGGTTAGATGGCTTCCGCCAATACCAGTTGGGGCGTTACATCGAGACATTGTCAGCGTAAGAACACAGGCTGTGCCATTGGTGGGTGGATCGCAGGGAGCATGCAGCAGTGGTGCGCAGCTTGTGTTTACATCTGTCGTGTAGATCAAAGCACGACCAAGAACATAGTTGACTGTGAGGACGAAATACTGCTGCGTTTCACCCACGTCATTCTTGACAAGTCGGCTGGAGTATCGCAGCGGTGATTGATGGCAGTGTTTGGTGGTCCTAGATTCTGGAGAGCGGCACAGCTGCGTCGAGATTTTGTGTGAACACGGGTGCATCAGGTGATGTTGAAGCTGGCTGACCGCACGTAGGACATGGTGGGCACGTTGACAATAGTTGGCTCCTCAGGCAATGCTTCTGGTAGGAGGCAATGCTTTTGAAGGCCAAGGTGTCCGACAGGTATGGCATTCGCGTGGCTGGTGGGGAGGAATCCGAACCATCTGCGAGGTTTTGTGCAGCTGGTGGCGCTGGCATGACGGCGTCTGAGGGCAGAGCTGTTTGTTCACTTGACGAAGAGAGACGAGTAGCTCCAACGAGTTCTCAAACCACCCCTGGTGTCGGCACATCACATGTCGGTACTGGTTCCTTGAGCTGCACGGGTAGATGGACGCTGGCGATGACAACAGCAGGTGTAGTAGACAGCGCTGTTGGCGTAACATCACTCTCATTTATAGCATGCGACTTGCACAGCGTCGTCTCGGGAGCTGCGTTGACAGCGATGTCTTGTGACAACTGCATCGCTATCTGTGAACTGTTTGATGCCATATGTTTGATGTTTGATGCCTGTTTGATGATGAACTGTTTGATGCCATATTTGACTGTGGTTGTCGGGGTTGCATAATTGGGATAGCAGGTATGGAAGGAGAAACTGTAGGAATGCGACGACACTCATTCGTAGGCATTTCGCGTGTACAATGTCATTTTGGGTGCGTCGTCGGAAACTATGTCATGCAATGTCTGCGTGGTCAGCTGCGAAGTGGCTGATGCTGAAGAGCCACAACCTGATGGTGCCAGATAACTTGGGTTCACTTGTTTCGGCAGAGTGGTAGTGACAGCTTAGGTACGAAACTAAGGTTTAGCGTGGCAGGGAGCAAGTGACCTGGCACTCCCAGTTGTGATGGGGCTCGTATGAAACCTCAAAATCGGTTGTATGCCTGCAGCCCAGGAGGAGGCACAACAGATGGCAGAGCAAGAGGATGGCTACCGTGATGGCATACCATACCTGCTGCGAGACAATGTTGCACACACACACACACACACAAAAAAAAAACGCCTCCATCTTGAGTAGCCAGATGGCTGGGCTTTCTGGGCAATTCCACAAGTAAAAAGGCACCGTGGCCGTTGTATCTCGTCGTCACGCCATGGTGATAGGCGGGTCAAGGTTGGTTGGCTCAGAGAAAGTGTCCGGTGCAACCTTCCGGAATGTTATTCCATGGTCCAGAGTCACCACTGTAGCTGGCAGGCAGAGCAAGTAAGATGCTGCCACATTGAATGCAAAAACCAACTGACTTATGCTATCCATGCAGGCGCGTGCCTCCTCGCACCTGCATGGACTTTATTGTTGTTGCTCCGTCCGCACCAGCAGCGCGCGACAAATGTATCGCAAGGTCTTATGTAACAGCTTTAAATGTGGGAAAGCTTCTAATCTTTAGTCACTTGAGAACAAAAGGATCAGAGGCGTAGCCAGGGGGTGGCACACTGGGCACGTGCCGCCCCCCCCCCCTGAAATATTTTTTTCGCCATGGCATTTGAGAGTGAAAAATGGCCATATTAAAGGGAGTTCCCTCCCCCGACTTCCCGAAAAAAATTTCTGGCTTCGCACCTGAGAAGGACGTGGGAAGTTTGCCCATTTCAAAAAAGTGGCATATCATTCTGATGTTACCAGCCTCGTTGGCTTTATTCAGTTGCAACTGAGCTTCTACGTACCATTCTTGCAGTGAAATTAAAAAGCATTCAGACAGAGTTTAGAAACTTCCCTGCAAAAGACAAAGTCTGTCTTTAACGTAACTTCAAATGCACTAGTAAATTACATGTCATAAATTAATCGCATTGTAATTGACTCATAATGCAGCTTGCTAAGTTCACATCTCTTCATTTTTAGCATGTATATTTATTTGGTCGCTTGAGCTTCTAGCTAAGTTCTTGGTTGTGCCGCCTAAGAAGTGACCATAAGGAAGGCTACTTTACAGTCTACTCCGCCACTAATCATCTTTGACAAGCATCTAGGGAGCAGCAGCATGATAAACAGTTGGGAGCTGTATATAACATTACTCTGTGAAGGCATCAGCTGGTGCGACAGACAGGGACTTCATCCAGCGCTCTGGATGAATGTTTTAGTTAAGGACTCGACATATTTGCCATCAACAAAAGGAAGCTCTCAGATGCCAACTAGGAGGAGCAACTCATCGCAAGTTACAATGAGAATTCCCTGACACCAAGGATGCATCAACAAAAAAACAGATGCAACAGAATGAGGTTCACATGAGTGTTCCTGGTTTTGAGCTTGCCGTATTTACTCGATTCTACCACGCCCTCGATTGTAACGCGCATCTGGTTTCCACGACGAAAAAAAAAGTAAGACATCGATTGTAACTGCGCACCTATTTTTCTCGGCCCGCACGATCACACCAGTCGAGAAAACAACTCCTTTCGGGAGTGTCTTCCGTTTAAATATAAGGTACGGGGGAAGCTTGTGCCCATCTGACGTGCAACAGAGCATTGCCGTCACTCTTAGTTTTTCCGTGGCCCGATGTCAGCACGCGAACTTGCTTCGCCCCCTTCTCAATGGTTGTGGTGCCAGGCATGTCGAAGTAATGAGGCGTCTGATCGGCATTCCCAATTTGCCCAAGCAGGTAGCCATTGTTGTGCCGCAAGTTTCGGATGAACCTCTGCAAAACTGTGAAGCTTTTCTTCGCACTCCTTCAGCAACTTCTGGCATATGCTCGTTCGCCTTCGGAAGGAAAAGCCTTTCCTCTTCATAAAGTAATGCCCCTGACACACGGGCACCCTGAAGTCCTTTAGACAAGGGGGCATTTTTCGGAAAGGCGTTCGGGCGCAGTGACACACGACAAAGGAGTAACTCCTTTCCGGCAAAGATCCTTTCCGCAAAAGCAGATCCCGCATCTACTTTTCTGGCAGGAAGGGAGTACTCTCGCATACAGTGTGCATAATTTATCAATAGAAAAAACGTGTCGCAACACTGCGGTGCCCTGTCAGTATTTTTTTTGCGCTGAGAAAATGTTTTCATTTTCGGCAGCAGTGCGATTTGTTGAAAAGTGAAGGCCTATAGTCTGTCCATACTCTCAAACGCCTGCATTACGTCACTAGCGCGATCATGTTAGGGTTGGCAGCGGCAGTTGCTGTGTCAGGCTCACCGAAAACACTGCTTAAAGTGGCCGTCACCTAATAACGGTAATGTGTCTTCAAACCAGCGTTTGTTGCGCACATAGGCCTTTCGCGGTTGATGGCTCGGGGGGACAGTGCGGAAGCAGTCAAAATGAAGCTGTTCATGACGAGTCTTTGTTTGAGGCTCATCACTCTTGCCTTCGCAGTGTTTAGCTCATCTTCGATGGTGCCGAGGGCGACAAGAGTCAGGCCCACCTCAACTGTTGCTTTATCTCTGTCTGTGCGCTGACACATCGCAGGATCACGATGAAACGCGGCACGCCGTCACTGACCCAGCTGGACGCAGCCATGTAAAAAGCACGACAAAAAATAAAAACAACAAAACACCGACTGTTCATAGTTGCCAGACGAACTTAAGTTGCTGCTAAAAACGCAAAAAAGCGAAAGAAAATTACTGGTATGCGCATTATAAGCCACCAGACAAAAAAAAAAACGGTTTTATGCTCCGGTGTCGCTGAATGTGATGTACATGCGCAGATTCTTTTTAATATTTCCAATCTTGCTGCTTCCACAAACAGCGCCATTTTTTCTGCAGCGTTCTTCTGAGGCACCGCCTAAAGCAGTAGTCCGGTGCCGTGTGTCATCAGCACCACTCCTTTCTGCAAATGGTCCCCTTAGGCGAGAAAAGTGGTTTACTTCAAAGTACTTTACTTTTGCCCGTGTGTCACGGGTATTAGTTGTCCAGCACCTGCTCGCTTCGAACTGGCTCCGCGTTAGCCCTTTTTCTAAGGCTGATTGCATAGTCCGCATTGGAGCAGTTCTGTCGTCACTGGCAGCTGCGCCGCTCGCTGCTCAAGCACATACTCGGCGAGCAGCTCTTCGATTTGCGGAAACCGACCCTTGTGTGGTCCACTGAGGCCTTTACGTGAAGCTTTGCTGTCGACAATCTTCTGCTTTTGTTTCCGCCAGTCCCGCAAGCACGTTTCGGGAACTCCGAACCACGGCGACGCAACCCGATTTCCGTCCGTTTCTGCACACGCGATGACTTTTCTTTTAAAAGCGGCATCGTGGTCCACTCGTAGAGTTTTTGGAGCCAGCCCTTCCATGCCATCGATGCTAATGCACTACAAGATGACGAACTCCTCAGCACACGTACGAAGTGCCGCAAAAGGGAAACACATTGGCAGAAATGGCCGACGCACCATGCCGAAGCACATAGGGGGCGACCATTTTGGAAATGCCGTTGGAAATAGAATGACCGTATTCAATTTTTTTTTCGTACTCGATTCTAACGCACATGCGACTTATGAACTCGCTTTAACCGGAAAAAAAGGTGCGCGTTAGATTTGAATAATTACGGTGTGCCCACTTTTTGGCTCCCTCACACGATACCATAATGATGAAGTGAACAGCGCACATGTCTAGCTGGTGTGCCTATTTTTTAGGACCATATTTTCTGTACCACAAACTTGAAAGATAATATGCTACAGTGGTCCCTATAAAATTAGCTGTCAGTATCGGACTTATTTCATCATAGTCTGCAGGTACATTGAAATGAGAGTTGCTCAGAAAATTCTACTTATCAGAGGGAAGTGTCTTTATACCTTGCAAAGGACCGTGTTGTCCACAGAAGCCATGACCTCGGCTGTGATGTCTTCTTGCACTTCTTCAACTTCCTGCACCACCGTGCCATGAAACTCCTCATCAGCCACCATGATGGTTTCCACATTATCAGCTGCTTGCAGCTCACCAGATGCATCCTCCATCACCTCAGAAACAGCCACTTCGAGGGCCTCTTCAGGCACGATTTCATCGGGGCTTACATTCTTGACCAGCACACTGGCAGGTATCTGAGCCAGCAGGTTCTGTGAGTTGGACCGGCCAGACATGCTGCACGCAAGACAACAGTTTTATTATCAATGCTCCCCGCACAAAGGAACTGCATGACATTCATCACAGACAAGTGGTCACTGCTAACAACAACAGTTTTATTATCAATGCTCCCCGCACAAAGGAACTGCATGACATTCATCACAGACAAGTGGTCACTGCTAACAAGTGCTCATGCTGTTATTCACAGAAGCTTCTCTGCAAAGATTCACCAGTTACACCAAGCAATTCATTCATGTTTTTGTACGCTGTTGAAATTTTCTTAATGATAAATTACCAACTTGCCCGAACGATCACATTAATCGGTTACATCAAATCCTTTCCCATAGCTTTATGCCCTCACAAGCCTGTTGGGGAGGCTTCCTCTTAGCATATGATATTCACCAAGCCAAGCATCGTTTATTGGGGCGTTATAACGTCAAGAGACTTTATATTGCAGCTATCATGGGCAAAAAGTACCAAAATGCAACTAAGGCACAGCTGTCCCTTTGAAATCTTTTAATAGCCTGTAACTATGTCGCCTGCATGTTACTGCCTGGTTTTCTCAAATTTATGCTGACAAATACATTAGAAAAACTACTCATATTCACGAGATCGGGCTATAGGGTGCAGCACTGCCCCGCGAAAGTGTGGGATAGGTGGTCGGCTGTGCGTATACAAATACATGCAGCGGCGCACCGTTGCGTGTGATTTCATCCGATTGTCGGCAGATAAAATGCATTGACTACAGTTTACTGGTAATATCTATGCTCTTCTCTACTGAATCGGTTCACGACTCCTATGCAACATTAACATTCACCGTGCGTTAAGTGCATTCTGCCATTCATAGGGATGCTCGCCCTGGGTGACTCTCTTCACGCTTCTGCACCAAGTCACACCTTTGTTGTGTTGTTTGTACGTGGTTAGCTTGTGTTCTGCCTGCAACGCACTGCTGTAGCGTGGCTGAACTACTTATTTACATTATTGTCATCTGCAAAAAAAAGATAAAGAAAGATTGTAGAAAGCCCACATATCTGTGCGATTTGTTCAGTACCATCGTTCGCTCCAGTGCGCATATGATATTTTTTCTCAATCTGATGTTTTTTCTCAATCTGATGTTTTTTCTCAATCTCAATAAGTCTAATCACGAAAGCTTAGTGGCTAACAGCGCTTTGCACTACACTGCATTTACCACGTGTACGCACATGTTTTTGCACCAGTAAAATATTATGTAAGAGTTCAGCGGAAAATTTTTACAGATTAATTACAGTGCTACAACAAAGACCTGGTTAATGGGACAAGCATGTTTTTTTTTTTTTTTTCAGGCAAAAATTACCACTGCCTTTTGTCGGTCACTAACAATACCACATAAACACTGAAAACAGTGTAAAAAAGATGAAACTTTCTATGAATTTATACGACATTATATTTAGGACACGTCGTCTAAATTATTCTTCAACGTATGGGCTCTTTAAAGCGTTTCATAAATCTAAGCACACGGTTGCGCATGGCGACTCTGTTTTAAGCGCAGTGTAAGTACCGAAGTCTCACAGTTTATGTGATAGTGATATTTCTATGTAGTGGTACAACGGCCAGATAAACACAACTAAAACTCCTCGCATGATCACTAAACTACAGTGTCGTAGTTGTACACCTACCAACAGTGCGCAAATGCATAGCCTGGAGCCTGTTTTTTTTTTCTTTACAACCGAGTTGCTATAAAATGCTGCATTCACTATTTGATAGCATTCATGTTAGGAAGGATGCCAAGAGCATTTTGCAATGGGGTTGAAACAGAAACCAGCACCCACTCTGAAATTATTCTAGTGAATGGAGCGTACGACGACAATAAACAGCACTCTTGAAAGTTGCACTCACCGATCTTATTAATAAGCATTAGCAGCCAAGAAAGACCAAATGCGTTCGTACGTCGTTTCAGGCGTACGTAGAAACAGTTACACACGCGCTCACTTGACCAAACAAACCACAGTTAGAGAACGTGCATGATGTACACGCACATAGAAACACGGCGTGGCTAGCAGACGACACAAGGAGCAATCCACACTTCTACATTTTGGCCAGTCGCCGACTCTGCTTGATCTCGCGGCCAATAACAATACACAGTTGAAAAATACACTTTAGTGAACTTAGGTGCATTGACCATACTTGAGCCCAACAAGGAAACAGAAAACAACTAAAATGAATGTCTCCTAGCAGCTTTAGCAGTGATGGAAGTACCTTGGAGCAGGAAAAGTACTGCTTTGGAGCAACCATAAGTGTTTTCGGAGCAGAAAAAAGTGCTAGTTTGGAGCAGCTATTGGTGTTTGAGGAGCACATAATGAATTTGCCACACATAAAGTGGAGTTGAGAGCATTGTCGAAGCATCTATTGTATATTAATATTTATTATGAAATATATTTAACAGACAACAATCACTGTATATTTCATGTAACAAATGATGGCAATTCCGTTATGGCAGTTTTATCCTTTTTGCTTGCAGCTGCTTTCAGTTTGTGCTGTCTTTTGCTGAACTAACCTTTTGGACTTTTTTTTTTCACATGGCTTTGTGATTGCAACATTCCGAAATCCTGCTCTCCTTAATCTAGCCACTCGTTTATCAAAACTGTGGTGGAAACCACGCACACATGTTCTTTTTAATCGAGAGCAGGGGCAGGACAGTGCTATCCCCTGTTCAATGAGCTTAGATTGACTGGAGCTGAAATCAAGCAACGGTTTCACAGGTCGTTGGAAAGTATTGCAAACACACACGAGAGGGAAAAAAGTCAATTTTCATGTCTAGGAAACTGGGTAGACTTATCTTTCATCTATTTATTCATTAATCCAAGCCCAGAATCCTTCAACATTTTGATCTATATATGCTGTGTCTCGTGCAGTCCTCGACTGTTAAGGAAGGCCAAAAAATTGTCAGCATACCCTTGTCTGGTCATGTAGTACATGGCATGCATGGTAGGTCATGTGTCTGTCATGTGTAGGCCTGTCTACCCTGCTAAAATTTCACTAAGTACAGGGGTGACTGTACACCTTAAACAAGCACCACTTTTCTGTATGACTGTCTTCATGTTGAACAAAGCTAGACCTAAGGTAAACAGACAAGAGTTCTACAAACAACACCTCTACTGAAATTGTAAACCTCTAATAAAAAGCACACCCATTGAAGTCACATATGCATATTTTGATGCTCTTCATAAGTTCATGGCATGGACACAACATTAACACTCATGGCTTGGCAGTTCCCTGGGTTTTCTCACAAAAAAATGTGTCAATTCCAAGAAATTAGCTACCCAACAGGGGTCTTCAATGTGCAAGGAGGCTAGTTGCATCTGCAAAAAGCCTGTCACAAGATGTTACTTAGACTTTTTAATAACAACTGCCCTGAAAGAAAGCACTGCTTTGTGGGTTTAAACCACCGTATAACCACGGAAAGTGCCCGTATACCCAACGAGTGTCCATACAACTGCTGCTGCAATAAAATGCATGCAGTGAAATATAAGCAAGGTATTGTTACAAGCAACATCAATAACAAAGTGAAGGTGGCTTATTATCTGTAACTGTACTGTTCAGTTCACAAACAAGCCATCTAACCTCGAGTAATGTCAAAATCAAACATGGAACTGTGGCTAGATGCGTAGGTACAGTGAGATTGGAGGGGCTCTAAAGGCATGTTTGTGCATAAGTGGCTGGCAAAGACGACCCGACAGTAGATTGATCAAAGACTAAGGTGATTTCCCATTCTGAGAAAGCTTTCTACACAACTACAAGTACATTACTGACTTGAAAAGACACCAATATTTCATTAATACACAAAAAGAGAGACGTGAAAAACTTGAACAGCACACTGGTCAGCTTCTTTCAAGACTGTAGCAAAGCGTGCAGTTCCTGACGAATTCAAATAGGATACAGCAAGCTAGATTCAGCAAAGGTACCGTAGATAAGGTTCATGCAATTAACCATATAATTTATTTAAGTCTACCAAATACATAGCATCCCTCAATATGACGTTTCATAGATACGGTAGAGGCATTCAACTTTACAGTTACCAGCACTACAGGAGGCAATGCATCAGCAAAGGGTAATTGAAATACACAGGGATACCGCAGTTAATATATGCAGACATTTCACAACTACTATGTTCCTCAAGAAATGCTGGCAAACTACTATCAAGAAAGGGTTTCAACAAGGAGATTAAGTCTGTCCATTGTTAGTTGCAGCATAACAAAAGAAGGTGAATTAAATGACTACATTGAAAAAAAGATAGGAATAATAATCAACAAAGGTGGACTTCAGAAACTGAGGTGACTGAAGAGCTGAAGCAGAGGGCATCGCACTAAGGCTGAAAATGCGAAAGACAAAAGGTGGTATGCAGAGAACAAGACTTTTGAATCTGTCAGGAGTTGTCAAATATGGGCTCCAAAGCAGTCTCTGTGTGATCTAGCAGAAGAGAGTTTTTTAAGAGTGTCTTGCACTCGGCCTTTGCAGTGCCACGACAGCAAGGCAAATTACAAGTGAATAATAAATAAGAACTTTTACAGGAAACTATCTACAGTACCTGTATTCTTCAAAATCTTCATTTGCAAGGTGTAATGGTAATGAATTGGCTGGTAATATCCATCACTTCCCTGAGCCCACATCTTTGCCGCCATCACGTGCCACTGCCACTCTGGCTCCATTAAGCATATGAGCTCTTTAGAGTAGCAGAGATTGCGTCTTTTCCTTGCTTAAACCTTTCCTCCTCCTCCTACGAGCTCTCACATGGACAACTGCTCTTAAAGACGATGACCATCTTTCAGCCAATCTTAGTTGTATACATGCGATTCGAGAAACCTATGCCAGAATTTTTTCCTTCATAATGTCAACCATAGCTTAAAAATCAGGTCACTTTGATCTTGGGCGAGAACCATCGCTTTACTGTGTGCAACTTTGGTTGTTTAATGTAAAGCTTTTAGGGCATGCTTTCAGGGCCTGCAGCAGGACACAAAAACATACTGATGATGACTCTCCTCATTTGTCATGTAAAATCCTTTGCGAGTGCCATGGCTTTCATTATGCGGAAAAAATATATTGAGTGCATTAGCTGCGTCGTCAATAAGCTGAATGTAATAGAATTTATAGTCTTCCAACACCACCACAATTTTTACAGATCCGCACTAAGAAAAGAAAGTAAAAACTTTAATATTTATGTTGCGATTTGGTTACCACATGATTTTCCTATTTCATGATAGGCGTTATAGCACATAAGCTGCTGCTTTATTTCATTTGTTTCAGCTTAAGTGTATTATTTCACGGCCAACCCACGGCTTGTGGCAATTTTCAGTAAACAAATGTGAACCTAATTTTTTACTAAGACCGTAAGTCATGACCATCCTTAGAATCAACACCTGAACACCGATATCGAAGTAGGGCTTTCTCTAGATGATTAATGAAATCAAACTTTGTATGATTGCTCACATAAAAGATACTGTATGCTTTCACCGCTAGAACACAAACGTTTTTAGTCCAAAATACCTCACTTAACAACAATGCCACACTTAAAAAAAGGACTCACTAATTAAAAAAAGTTGGCCTCGTATCTGCATGTAATCTGCAAATGTCGTCGAAAGACGATAGTCTTGCGTGTGGAGAGTGAACAGTTAATTTGATGTTCTGCGCAAGAAAATCGGTGAATGCTATTTTGGAGGCGCTGCGTTAGAGTGCCTCGAGCGTGCAGCGGAGGCGAACAAGCGCATCAAATCACGTCACACGTGAGATATGAGCGCCACCTGGCAGTCTTCTTGAAAAACCAAGCGCATGGCTCTGAGACGGGTGTGCGCACCCATCTCAGAGGTGATAAGGTGTAGAATGCAAGGCGACGGGTAGGTGCCACCACTGTTTCGTTTTAGCAAAGCGTTGGAAGCACTCGCCTTTCCGTGCAAGCGTTGCATGGTCAGCGCAGCGTGATAAGCGCTACGGTCCTTAAAATTACTTATGTGTGCCTTTTATAGTAAGATACGCACATGCAGAATATATACGTGTTGTTATGATGCCCCAGACAGGTGCAATATTTGTTTTTTAATTGACAATTGCACAAGCATGAACGCTCAACCTTGAGCAACATAGGTGTGCGCTGCGAATGGGGTCGGCTGTTTCAAGTACTCCATGCCGTTAAGAGTGAACTAACAGACAAATGTACAGACAGACAGACCGAAATTTTTGCGTCGAAGGTCCCCCAGAAAGACTATCGTCATTAAAAATGTGCAGTAGTCACTATAAAATTGCACACAATATGTTCAAGATTCAAAGCTAGTTTTTTAGCGAGAACAGCATCATACACCACATACTCCTAATTAATTTACGTAGAGCTTAGCTATCTTTTCAGCAAGTGATGCCCTGTAAACAGCACAAACGATGAGCTTATCGCTATAAGATGTTACAACAGATAAACATTTTTAACCGCTATGCCATACGAAATAATCGTCCACTGACTGCAGGTGGTGAGAAAGTGACTATTTGGATGCTGCTTTGTAAACGTTCATGCGGGCCAGGTGAAATATGAAATAATACGTCTATTTACTCAGCAGTTGGTCATATAGAAGTTCCGCTTGGAAAGAACAGTTCGGCGTTGCGAATATTAAGTTTCGCCACGGCCGAGGCACATCCCATTAAGTGTTCTGATGTCCCCTTGTTACTTGCAAAAAATGTATTCCTACCCCGGCTGTTTTACCATCTATTTCCTTCCTCACTTGGCTCTGTTGCTGTCCTTTTTCATACTTTCACGTACTGATATGAAATGTTTAATATTGCGTCTAACATTTGATTTGCTGGTAATTTGCAATGTTCACCACAGCAACTCATTATCAACGCTTGCATAATCGAGGGTCCCATTGAAGTTCTTTTTACTTAGGGGAACTCGCTTGTATATTTGTCATGTTCTGTACACCTTTCTTTTGTAAACAATAAATGAGGATCCAAGAGTAACTAAGACGGACCGATTAAAAGACCGATTTTGATGCGACGATTCTGAGCAGCCAATCTCACTCAACGCAATTTGCGTGCGGGCGGCGTTTCGGCGACTGCATGGCAACGTTTCCTGTGCGGCTATTTTATAAACACATGCTTATGCTTAACATGAGCAAAAAAAAAACAAAAAAAAAACGTTACGACCGGCAACCTCTGTCAAATCAAAACTATAGCAGTCCGCGAAAGCACATTTCAAGAACTCCAGCGTAGCAACGGCTTTCGCGATGGGACCACAGCCGTTGCGAAGCAATGGGCAGCATTCTCGGGCAAGTCCTGCTGCCGAGCTGTAGAGTAATACAGCAACCGTTAGCTATATTGCTCTACACTACAACGAGCGTTTTCGATCGCCTGTGCAGCATGGGTACAATCTGACTTCTCTAGGGAAGACAACACTTGCAAACAACCAGGTTCTACGCAAAAATATTTGAATGAAAACAACAATGGGCCACCACCTATTCGGCATAGCCGAGGAATGGGCGGGGAATAAAACGGCCTCGTACAGTAGTAATTTTGCACTGACACTGGCATTTTCGCACAAACAACATTTGCAGGAAGTGTTGCAGCACTCACCTTCGCCTGCAAATTTAACTAATACTTCCGCAGATGGCAGGGAGTCGGTGAAGAAAGTACAAAGTACGCTACCGACAATACGCAGCAACCAGTGTGGCTACCACCTCTCCGCCAGGCCTAAATTTGTCGTGAAACCCAACAATGCCCTTCTAGTTAAAACAAATTCAGCCAACATCACCACAGGTTAAATCACCATAGTTTCGAAGACACTTTTACGCTGATTTTTTAAGCGTGTAAATAAAGTTGTTTAATACTTTAGAAAGCTTCACAGTAAAATCCTAATAATTCAAATTTTGCTAGACAATAATCAAAAAAGAACAGGTCAAGTTTCAATAACTTTCAACAGCAACATTTTTGTTTCTAATTACTTTACAATAATTTGTAGCCCTGTATCTGCTTTAGCGAGAAACTAATCATAAGTGCGTTAGTGTATTTTAAATAAATGCCACTTAAGACTAAGAAATTAGGCGCTTTTGCAACCGCCTGCGTTCAAACGTGGCCTCCAAGATGTGAAACGCGTCGCCATCTCAGAGGCCATCACTCCGACTACGGTGACTCTAAACGCGCAGTTTTCAAATCGGGGCACCCGCGCGCTCTGGAGGAAAAATAGTGTGGTGCTTTCAGAGTGACCGCCTCAGGAAAAAGAAAGACATTCCCGGCGTTAGCAGTCCAAAGACACCTTGAGAGCAGTCCGACAGCAGAACGAGAGGGGAGAGAAACAATATCCTTCGTTGAGTGCCTGTCCTGGTTTTGTGTACGCTCCGTGAATGTTCCGCGACGTCGACAATACTCGTTTTTCTTCTGGAACGTCACAATGGACCTCTGGCTACGTCATAGTAGTGGCGATGTCGCGAGGAGCTGAAAACTCAGATGAATGTTCATGCTTACTTTAAAACCAAATTAAATTTTTTTTGTTCAATGTATTTATTCTTTCAAATAAAAAACAAAGAATAAACAAAACTTTCAAATTTGGTGTTAAGAATCATTTAACTGAATGTCACGTTACTGAAAGTGTCGCGAAAAATAAATAATTACCTCATTGCATTTTCACTCACCTGATTAATACGTATAATCAAGTACTTATTTTTCATAAGAGAAGTGAAGATGTACTGTGGAAAATTTCAATTGCGCTGTTATCGACCACACCTGGTAAACTGGTAGGTGTTCTGTGACCACACTTGAACACCACAGTTGTGTGCATACAGATGTTCTCTAGTTGTGTTCTTCGTGTTTACTTGAAAAGTTTCTAAAATGCACTGTAGCGAATTGGAAAAATCTCTGCAGATGGCTCAGAAACATTCCTACGGGTCTGCAGAAAACCCAATTCTCTTTTGACTGAACAGGATCAACATATTTGCATTATTGCCGTTAATGTTCTCGTGATCACTGGCTCGGGATTTCAAGTTGCCTCTTTTCAAAGCCTCTGCGGATAAAAAGTGGTGAATGCTTCAGTGGAGAGGCAACTGGGCAAGTTATATATTTCGAGTCCTGCTTTGTGTTAAGACACGTTGTGAAATGAGGAATGATCAACACCGGATCTAGTAACGTTGATCAACACCTCCTAAATATTTTCGAAGGCTGCGCTCTGACAGGTGACGTCAGCGACCGCCGTCCTACACGGAGGAAGGACCTTTCCTTCCTTCGTGGCCGTCCCTGTCCCGGTCGCTGACGTCACCTGTCAGGCTGCGCTCTGACAGGTGACGTCAGTGACCGCCGTCCTACACGGAGGAAGGACCTTTCCTTTCTTCGTGGCCGTCCTACGAGCCGGTTCCTCAAACCAGCTCTTCCGTCCCGTTTTTCTCCCGAGTCCCCGACTCCACTTTTCCTCTCTTGCTGCTTGTGGCCAGTTCGTAGAACCAGTCGCTCTTGTTTTGTTATTCGAGTGCTACCACAGAACACCTATATATGTGCTACTTCTGCGGCATGCAGGTCTCGACATGCCAAATAAGTGTTGTGTGCCTATGTGTACGAGCAATTACAAGACAGGAAACAAGGAGCAAGTGCTTTCATTCTCAAAAGATGAAACGATCTTCAAGAAATGGATCAGTGCGATTCCTCGGTGGAATTTTGTGCCTACTGCCAACAACAAGGTACGAAGTAAATTCTCACCACAAAATTGTGGTTTATGAGGGAGTTATGACAAGCGTTATGTTATTTGATTGTATAAAAAAGGGTAATATCCTGTGCTCCACACGTTTGCTACTGTAAAATGCGGGTATGCGCCTTACACTTCCACGCATCGGACATGGAGCGTACATCATCGTACTCAGATCCCCGGACAGGAAAGGTGCTTGAAGCTGCGCCTTGGGTCAGTTCCATCTATATTTCCTGGCTGCCCTTCGTATCTGTCGAAGCAAGATGCCCTCCCAACAAGGGAATCCCCGGATGCCAAGAAAGCGCGCCTCGAGGCTCGTGCTATTAAAGAGTACGCGGCCTTGCATCGCGAAAAGCAAAAGCAGCGCAAATTTGTGTCCCTTCCTGAAATGATAGAGCGGCTATAAGGGAAATGCATCCCAGATGAATGGACCGTTATTTAGCACCCAAACTGTGCCATATTCCTGAACATTGTAAATAAGTGGATGCCTGTTCTTCAGTCCTCTGTTACTGTGTTCGAAGATCTTCGTATCACTGCGTGTGTACACGGTAACTTTGTAAAACGCACAAGTGACTGTGTTGTGCCAGATAACACCAGTGATATTAAGGAATTATGTGACCTACTGATTAGGTTGCAGCAGATTTCTGGCGACTCCTGATGCTACTGACTCCATTTCTGTCAATCTTTTCAAAAGATTGAACAAAATGTCCCCGATAATAAAAAAGGACACTGCCAAATTTTTGAGGAAGCAAGTGTTGTTGGTTGAGAAAGAGAAATTGCAATACTCTTTGCAAACAATGGTGCTTGCCTGCATATTGCACACCATATCTCCCCATGCTTATAAGTTTTTGAGGAGCTCAGGTTCTTTGATTCTGCCACATCATAGTACTACAGAAAATGTGTGCTCATCCTTCAAGCTATCACCCGAGAATAAAATAGATGAGCCGAATTTTCTAAAATACATTGGTCAGAGATATAAGAAACTAAAGTCGCATGAGACTGCCGTCACTCTAATGATAGACGAAATTCACATTCAATCATTCATGGACTACAAAGGAGGGAAGATTGCAGGGGCAGCAGTAAACACAGTTGAGGCTGCAACGACTGCACATGTGTTCATGCTTCAAAGTATGTTGAGCTGTTTTCGTAAGGTTGTTCACATTATTCCCGTGCAAAAGTTAAATGCTGAGTCGCTTCATGCTGTCTTGAAAAAAAGTCATTCTTGAGCTGTAAATATAGGCTTTAGAGATGTAGCTGTAGTAACAGATAACAACTCCATCAACAGGAAGGCTTTAGGCGTCTTTTCTAACCCGCCAAAAGTAAGAATTACTTACCCACATCCAAATGGTGCAACGCTGCCTTTGATTTTACATCGTAGATGCTGTGCACCTGTTAAATTGTATAAGAAACAATTAGCTTAACCAAAGAAACCATAAAACCCACTTTTATTTTTCCATAATTGACCTTACCAACCATTATGTCCACCATGACATCATACAATGGGCGTTATTCAAAGAACTGAGAGAACTTCACAAACTTGAAGCTTCTGAGCTGTTGAAATGCAGCTACCGGCTGTCTTCGAAGGCTTTAAATCCAATTAATTTAAAAAGGCAAAATGTGAAGCTTGCCTTACAGGTTTTTAACACCTCTGTGGCTGAAACCTTGGATGCACACTCTGGTTTGCCCGCATTTTCCCAAAGGAAAGAAACTGCCAACTTGCATCAGAATAATTCTTCATTGGTGGAAGGTTGTCAATGTAAAAGCCCCACACAAGGGCCATCACCACCGTGTGACGTATACAAAGAACCAATTTCTTCAGTGAGTGATGACCCCAAGCTGACATTTCAGGACGCCTTCATGACCTGGCTTGGCGTATGGGAGTTTTACAAACACGACAATGGCACGCTCACTAAAGAAACTTTTAACGCTTTGAGGCATTCAGAATATGCTCTACTTGAATTTTCTAAGTATTGCATCGTTGAGCTTGGCTGTAAGCTGGGACAAGTGCAAACGGGCGGTTTGGAGAACAGATGTGGGCAATACCGACTAATGGCTGGGGACAGTATCAGGCAGCTTTACGAGTGTGAAGCCAGAATTCGCCTCCAAAACACTCTTCCTGTGATAAGCCCGGGGACCTCAACGACGATGAGGAGCTTTGTTTGCAGGCTGCTGCACATTCATTCAACATTGCTCTGTGTCAGAAAACCTGGACAGTTCGGTGGCTTCTGTGCTTATTCTGTTCTGAAAACACTGAAGTGTGATTTCTGCCGAGAGCAGCTTGTGGAGTGCTAAACACCAGAAATCGAGGATGCAAATGTGCAGTCTTTAATTGATTGATTTGTGGGGTTTAACGTCCCAAAACCACTATATGATTATGAGAGACGCCGTAGTGGAATGCTCCGGAAATTTCGACCACCTGGGGTTCTTTTAACGTTAACGTGCGCCCAAATCTGAGTACACGGGCCTACAACATTTCCGCCTCCATCGGAAATGCAGCCGCCACAGCCGGGACTTGAACCCGCGACCTGCGGGTCAGCAGCCGAGTACCTTAGCCACTAGACCACCGTGGCGGGGCGTGCACTCTTTAGCAGCTAGTGTGAATAGAGGTGGTCTAAAATTCTCCAGACTGTGTATCATCACTGTCGTGATGCACGCTGAAATAGTTCTGAAGAAGCTGCTTCAGCCAGAAAATGTCACAATGTTTTTTCAGCAAGAAAGCCAGAGGAATGTCTTCAGGCAACTGATAATTGAGTCACTGCCTGAATTCGAAGATCTGGTGACATGCGTAAATGGGCAAGATCCAAGTTTGCTGATCAGCATGATAGCAAAGTGTGCAGCAAGCATCATGTTGAGTAATTACTGCAAGCAACGAAATGATGTGGCTGCTATTGTAAAAGCCGATGCCAAAGCTAAAAACATTAACTTCGAAGTAAAGTGCAGGTTGAGTTTTTGAATAATATAGTGTTTTTTTTGTGTGGGCTTGTACTGTTTTAAATGTATGTACATAATAAACTCATGCTACCAAGTATATGGGCCAATTTGTATCGTAATCAAAGTGTACTTCGTGACTGAGCAGCACTTGCGTGCAGCAAATCAGGCGGCTTCAGGTGAGCTAATAGACATAACTATTCTTGGCGAGATTGCTGTGAACTGCGTGCGAGCTGTAGATGCAGCAGACTGGTTGAGTAGGAAACGGGTTCAAAGCAGCGCGGCGGCGTCCGACCACAGATGACGTAGCTGACGTCATGACGCGCGACACCCAAGCTTGTCAAGTTCTAGGAGGCGTCGGAACGATGCAGTGTCAACCATATTGGCCAACTTGCCGCCATGGTAGACTGCGGGGAAACAGGAAGACTCTACATCCACCTTTTATATAACACTCCTATAGGGGTCTTTGAGTTAATAAAATAAAAAAAAGTGAAGAATCAGCACCATTGCCCAAATGGCTTTTTTAATTGCGTAGTATTTCTTAGTGAACCAAAGGTAGTTCGAGTGTTACTATCTACTAGTCACCTACGTCTGCGTGCTTGCCTCCTTAACTTTGTGTTGACGCAAATTGGCATGAAAAGGTACGAAGGTTTTACTGTCTGGTCATGACATGAATAATGTGAAAAAGATGTCATGTACGTCATTAAACAGTCAGTTATTCTACCACAGAGCCACACCAGGTTGTGAAACTGCTTTTGAAAAAGACCCTAATGACAGGTGCAGTAGTGCTGGCTATCTAATTTATTCAACAAACAATACATATGTACTCCTACAATTAATACAGGCATCATGTCAAACATTACATATGTATCGTATGATATCATATCAGGTTAATGCCAACCATGGTTCCAGTGTTGGTTCCGCTTTCATATCAGTTTAATAAACATTGCATTTATATTACTTGCCAGCGGCTTATCATGAAACCTGTCTACATTAGGTGTGGGATCTACCAAAAGGTAGGTGCTTGATGGGTTGGCCTACTTTTAACGGTTATATATCACTTCCTTGCAGCAATGGGCACGGTAACAACTTTCTCCATTTTTCTGGACTGGCCCGTTGACTTCAGCACAATTTTTTTTTTAATGCTCATGTCCAGATAGCGTTGAGTGCAGGGTGTTTTTTGTGTTGGAGAAGTTGACTGATAGGTCTCATTTGCCCATCGATCACAAGACAAGCAATGCCCATGCAAAGAGCTGCAAGCATTCCTCTGTGCTGTGGAACAGTACATTCGTCGGTTTGTGTCTGCATCTGAACAGTTGAAGGGTCATGCACAAGTGCTGTAGAATAACACAGCATTTTGACTAAAAAAATTGGACTTTACAGTATTTACAGAAATTACTGAAGTGCCAAATCTGATAACCAGAAGGGAAATTGGGGAGATACGATAGTACTGTAACCTCAAAGACAGCAGCGAAATGAAGCAGCATTAAATCAGCTAAAAATCAATTGCATAAGAAGGACGAAAATATGTATTATGAGAGAGAGACAAGACATTGTCACAAGTAACTCTGATAGCACAGTGAACTTCAGAGTTCCTACTAAGCCTGAAATACAACCTGGTGCATACATACATGAGTACCAATGAGGCAGCAAGGGTTAGGCGTGTTTGTAAAAAAGCATCCGGAAAAGGCAGAATAACAGTCCATTTGATCAAAGGTTGAAGATTATGTCTAAGAAGCTGGCAACACACAAACATTATATATTAAAAAAAAACAACAAAGTTGGAAAAGCAAGAGAATCATGTTAATACACAAGAGAAACATGCAACACCGGAACTGTAGACCAATTAGCTTACTTTTATTACACATTCATGAAGGTAATTTAAAAAGAATAAGAGTGACAGTATAGTTCAGTCAACCAACATAGAGAAGAATCCGGTTTCAAAAAAAAGGATGAAAGCCATGTGCTCAATTAACCAATTCACATAACTACAATGAACTCCTTTATAGTAAGTACGAGATTTGCGATGCTTGATACAATGCAGCTGGTGCTACTGAGGTCTTCCAATACGAGAGTTTCTGTAAACACCATGATCTGGTCACCAATCTGCAGGACTTCTGCCAGAAATCATTTTAATAAAATGTTGTACTTTAAATCAGCAGAAGTGGAAATGAAATGCCACAGCATAACACAGTACCTCGATGCAAAAAGTTACACGATCTCTTCTTATGCATTCCCCGAAGATAACTCCAAGGCGAAAGCCTGCTTTTTTTTCTTCTCAGTCGATTGTGTTGATCCTTTTATTACTGTACATTGTTTGAATTGCACACTGTGAGACACTCGAAACAAGCAAGTAGCAGCATTTCTGGAATATAAGACGGATGATGAATTGTCGCCACACTTGATGGCCGGCCAGAAGTCATGAGTTCCTGCGAAAAGCGCATTTAGCTGTCGAGCCGACCTGCACAGCACCACTGTTTAATTACTGGCTCCATCAAATGCTCCACTTATCACAGGAAAGATAGAGAGAGAAAAACGTGGCTACCAAATTGTTTTACAAGTAATTTTATACAAACAGGCAAGCAAACATTTCAAGGTGTTTTTTTTTATTATTTCGCTCTATATAATGCAAACCTCAGTCACCTGACACACCATGATGCTCTGTAGTAGCCGACCAAAAAAGCTCAAAGTAAACTAAAGCATTCACACTTTTAACAATGTAGAACACTCACAATACCACTATTTTATAGTAATTATGACATTCCGGACATAGGTAGCTTTTTTTCAACAGTCCCTGCAGTCTGGTGCGACAAATTTGTGCAGGATGATTCAGGTGCAAAATATTCCAGACGGTGCACTTGCAGGCAATCTCAGTGCCAGAAACATCGGGCAGGAAGCCCTTCACACTGAGCAATGGCGAGCAAACAGTGCGCTCACTGTTCGCAGACATAACTTACAACATAGTCTAAGGTGCACGCAGCAGCCCGTGCATTTTGCGAAAACGCAACTTTATATTCTTGCAAGGAAAGTCTTACAAGCCTCGTATATATCAGTCAGGTGCCTGAGACCCCTCCCCCCAGACACCCCCGCCGTTAAGCCCTACACAAGCGAAGTTCAGTCAGCACCATGCATGGTGTCGCGACTTAATCTGCACGCATGACCGCGCTAGTATTTATAAACTTTGCATTTATTATGTGGCTGCATGTAGCCTAGTGGCTATAAATGTTGCGCACAAACACTGTTTCATTTGTAGGCTAATCCTTGGGTCGTGGTTGTGATGTCTGGTGGCCTCAAGATCAAGATGCATGTCTTGACACATCTGCAATACTGTTGTTATCAAACATGAGACTCTGGTGCAGTTTCATGCAATCCACATAATTTTCTTAAGATGGCACAGCAGTGGACTCACTGTACAGTGTAGTTTATCCAAAAATCCTACCTTTCAAAACATTTTTATATAGCCATTGTAGTTATGGAATAGAGTTACGGGATGCCTTAAACATACGGTGTCGTCAAGGGGTGCATGAAACATAAGTAGGCATCACAGGCAAACACATACAAATATGCCAAAGGCACATTGCTCCTACACAACAAAAACAAGAAAATTATTATGGCAAAATGCATCAGGCAAGCTAATACAATCTTGCTAATGTTGTTCACAGCATGCTTAGAATTCTTCAAACGACTACCATAGAAAAAATATATATTTACAGAGAATACCTCAATTACAGGTGGACTGCAGATTACACCATACTTCGTGACAATTGACCATTTGCACAAATCTCCAAGCTGGCTTTCCTGCAAAGTTGTTTTCAAACCTCCTTCCCAGATTGCTTTTCTCAGTCTTGTCTTTGCCTTCCCCCTCCCTTTTTTACGGACGACAGGTGTCTCGCTCACCATGCGATCTGAAGGTTCATTTGAGGGTAACCACTACACAATAATTGTTGGCAGACAAAAGTCGTTTTGTCGCATTCGTGCCTTCACTGGAATAGTAGTGGTAAAAGCACAGTGAGCAAGAAAAGCAGTTTGGTCACGATAGGTTTTTTCCTTCTTTTGGTTGGAAAACAACCTTGCAGGAAAGCCGCCTAGCAGATTTCTGCAAATGGTCAATTGAGAATAGATGAGCAAAAGACAAATACACACTTTCAACAGGTCTGGACACTAGGGTAAGAATACAAGATATTCCTTCCCACAACCAGCAACCTTGTAAAGTGGAGCTATGACAGCAGCATCAATCAAACATGTATATTATAGTTGAGAGAAATAAGTTTACCTTGGTGGGTCTATGGAGTACAAAGAACTGAGCAACGGAATGCATACTAAGAGATGGGAGAAGTCAGCAGAATTAATTTGCAGGCAAAAGAGAAATTTGCTCGTGCAGGACAGGGTAATGACTGGCAGGTCCTGCAGTGAACCTAAAATAGGTTGAAGGTCGCAGTAATCGCAGTGCTTTAGACATTGTTAAGCATGGGCCTTCGGTGGGCTGACTTTTCGAGTTACAATGTGACTCCGATCAGTACACTTCGTAACCCTGCACACAGTGAGGGCCACGCTTACAATTCTAATATCACTAGCTTGCCCAATCAGCTAGTCTTGCACACAGAGCAAAAATAAGTAACACAGCAAATGTGCCATCACTGTATTTGAGACAAAGTACAGACATTGATTCAAGCAGTTCCATCGGCTACACTTTGGTAGCCCACAATCATTTCGTTCGGTTCCTCCATTTCAACTAAAATGACAGTGTCTGGCCTTGGCCCCTCATCTTCACTATCCTCCTTCTTACAAGACCGGTCATAATCGTGCGTCTTGCTATGCTGCTTGAGGTTGGCAGAAGAGCCGAAACGTTTGCCACACTCTGGACAGGCAAATGGTCGCTCGCCAGTGTGTATGCGCAGGTGCTGCCTCAAATTGCTGGACGTCTGAAAGGCACGAGGGCACTCGGAGCAGGCAAACGGCCGCTCGCCCGTGTGAGTTCTTTCGTGCTGTCTCAGATTTGTGGATGTACCAAACGAACGGTCACAATGCGGACACGGGAAGGGCCGCTCACCCGTGTGCGTTCGTCGGTGCTGCCTCAGGTTGCTCTCAGTGTTGAACCGCTTCTGGCACACATCGCATGCATAGGGCCGTACCGAGGATGTGTGGCATATGGTGTAGTGCTGCCTCAGGTTGCTGGCACTGCTGATAATTTTCTTGCAGACGGGACACATCTGTGGTCCCCCCCTTCCCGTAACCCTGCTGGTTGTCACCGTCTCCTCGGCAGCAACTAGGGGAGCCCTCTTGGTCACCGAGCTCTTGGCCACCACCAGCCCACGGGGCTTCACTCCACGGTGTGCCAGCATTATGGCACTGCTGCGGTGAAAGCATGGCTCTGGTTCTTTCGCCGGGGTTGGCTCACTGGATGCAGGCTGCTCGCCCGACTTCTTGTCATCTGAGAATATAATTATGGCAGGCGCTGCATTAAATACTATTATCGCAGCACAAATGGTTATGTGGTAGGGCCATCTGGCTGCATAACACTTGTGTAAAATGATTTCAAAACAGCGAACACTGCATTTAGCTGTTACGCATGATCGCATGAAAGCAAGTGGTGAGGCACCGCAACAGTAAGAACGTTGGTTCCGACTCGGCTTGCAGGAGTCCTAAATTTCCAGCACTGCGTGTATGCTAGGTTCGAATTCACTAAGATACTGAATGTTGTCCTCTTTTTTTTTTTTCTTATTCTTCATAGAACAAAATGAATTTATCGATTTGTCGGTTACATTAGGACACCGGGGATACGAAAAGAAAACAATGTATCCCACATTCTCCCTGAGAAAAGACAGTTCCCAGTAAGTATCAACTTTGGCCGTGCTGACGCTGGAGCAGCCGCAGCGGTGACCGAGCTCGGCTGCTGACGAGAAAGACGCGAATTCGATCACGGCCGAATTCTGAGGCGTGCGACTTGCACGCAACTCCGGATGGCCGACCAGAGCACTGCACAACAGCACCTCTCGAGGCCTGCGTCGCTTTGGGATCTTATACGCCCTAAACCAACCAAACGCAAATATAAACAGCGCTTTAGGGGGCCACAATCGCCACCGTAATTACCGGGCGACATGTTGTGCGGCCTGCTTACCTGACTCCTCCGTGCGATCGGCTATTCGTTTAATCATTAGTTGCGGTTGGTACAGCTGCAAGAGATGATCCACGCGTCCCGGCGAGCGACAAGAGGATCAGGCTTTAAACGGTATCACCAGTTTCACTGGAAAGGCCGCCGCGCGGAATGCTTCCGAATCGCGAGATTCTAAACGCCGCCATTTTGGAATTCTGCATTAGAAGAGAGAGAGAAAGAGGAAACACGCACTCACGGGCTCCGGTTCCTTCTCCTTCCACTAGTGCTACACTAGCGCTAAGAGTTACAGCAACATTAGCGCTAGTTTAGCGCTGTATCTGGTTGTATATGCAGCGCTAAAATAGAACTAAAGGTAGCATATGCAGTAGTTCTAACCAGCGCTAAGGCTGCTAGAAAAAGCTCAAAACTCGTTTTATCTAGGGACCATAGTTAGCGTCGGTTGCTAGCGCCACTAGCGGCATGTGTAGCGGATGTATCAGTTTATTTTGGCATTTTGCATAGCCTTCGAAATAGCCGTTCACAATTACCAATAATATTTTCTTTTGTCGGGTGCAAGCGTTACCTTGCACCTCGCAGTTGTTTGAAACTTGGGACAAGTTGATTCGAAAGAGCACAGGGAGCTACTCTTTGCGTAACCGACGTAGCGTGTGGCAATGCTACTAAAATGAAATGCAGCGCCACTGTCCATGCACTTTTACTGCTTTTACTCTGGCATTGCCGGTCTTGTGCAGCCGTTAAGCCCGCCGAATCCGAAAACCATAGAGTTGCCGAAAACTGCTGTTGTTGGTCGAAGTTACAGCGTTACAGGCTACTATAATCGTAGTATATATCGTAGTGAAGCGACTTAAAAATGCATGATGTCGAAGGTTTCCTCAACAAGCTTGGGCAGATTCGTACAAAAACTAGACAAATTGCGCACAAGGCCGAAGCTGTGCTGCGTAGACAACAGTCGATGGGTAACTTTAGACGAACTTTTGCGAGTGAATTTGTACTGTTACAGTTCTGTGCTTGCTTTTCGCAGTGCCTGAACTTCGCAACAAGAAGGACGCGTGGATACTTGAGCAACAAAGACGCAAGAAGGGTATGCCACTGTTTCAAACAGACCTGGTTCTATGCTGCTAGACGTTTTAAGAGCTTCTAATGCATGCGCCCACTTTGGAACACCGCTTTCGTAGATGAAATCGAAGATTTGGTGGATTTGATGCGGCGTTACCAGCAGATGTTGGAAATGGAGAAGCGGGATGTAGAACACATGACTGCCCTTGCCGACATTTGCGACAAGAAACAGAAGCGCCTGGAACTGCACACGTTGGGTAAGTTTTCATGGCTGCTCCCTCGTAAATATGTGCCAGAATGACAATTGGATCCCTTTTAGGGATGCCCAAAGGCGTTAACTCGCTCGCGGGTTGGGCTATAGCCCCTCCTAAAATGATGCGCCATGACTTTTGATCGGTGCAACATGGTGGTTTTGGGCCTTGTTCTGTGATTAATTGTAAATCAAAAGACCTTCTCAGTGACTATGTTCCTTGATGAGCCGAATGAGTCCCGCACAAATGTGTTTCACTGGTAAAACATGCTGCTAAGTTGTTGTCCTGTGCATATCATGGCACGTTTTAAAAATATGCGAAAGTTAAGGAGCATGGCTGTAATGCTGAGTGTTCCTCAGTAGATGATGTTATGTTATGACAGGCTCAGAGGTATATGAAAAAGAAAAGGCATTAAAAAGAGATAATTAAGTGGCAAATTGCACTGTGGACAGGCCATAGAATGGTGAAAGAAAAGCAAACTGCCATATGAAAGGTTGTAGGGAAAGTAAATGACAGCAACATTGGCACTAACAAGAATTTATTAATACAGTGGTTTTCAGTTAATTGAATGGCATGTATAATGAAATGTAACGACATTTATAAGCAGTGTGTTGCTCAGTCGAGCGGCCTGCACTCATTTGCCTCTCTGAGTATAAAGTCTTTGCAATTGCAACCTGGGATTTGATTTTGAAGATCTATCTCTCTATCTATCTGTGTGTGTGTATCCTTGTATGCAATGTGCGGTCAACCAAAAATGCTTACAGACCACAGGAGCACATGCCAAAATAGAGATACTGTGTATGCTACTATATACAGTAACTCTAGGCCAAACTACCTGTCCACGCCACCTACTATCGGCCGCAGTGCTCAGCCAAAAACGGGTCTTCGTGCTATTCTCTAGTATACCAGTTTTATACTGCTGTAAAACAGTATATTGTTAGTTGTTTTTACACAAAGCACTTATTTGCCGTGTGAGCACCTCAGTTTTGTCTTGATAGAAGAATCAGAGCTATTGTGACATGCTTCAAATAGTATGCTATTGGGTACATAACACTTTGTGGGAATGATTGCAGCAGAGAACAGTTATACTGATAGACTGTGCTCGAAATGGAAGTATATAACCACAGTTGCTCAAGTGTGCATTACTTCAAAAAGTGGAACATGGTAAATATTTGTGTCCAGGAGGGAAAATAGCCTGGCCATCAATTTAGGGAGGGATGCCTCCTGGGCATGATCACTGCTGGCATAACAATGGTGTCGCAAAAAGGTTGTTTGCTACACAATCACGGAATCTTTTAACTTTCCTAGTTGATAGTATATATGCACAATAGTTGATAAAAAATGTCGGCCACATACAGCTGTTATTGTTTGGGGAGTGCTGAAGAGGCAACATTGGTAGCGTCACTGTGATGTGCGACTAAAATGCCATCAGGTCAGGATGTTATTTTATTGGAGATAAGTGGGTGAGAAGGCCTTGATGTGTACGTGACATGCAAGGGTGTCAAAATGGCTGAATCCTCTGCCATATTTTGCAAACTTTCATGAAGTGCTGATAATTACATCATTGCGAACATGCAGTCATTTTAGTGTTTTGTTTTTACTAGAACACTCGCGAGGCCACGAACGTTAAGGCACATTGTATAGCTGTACAAAGCGTGACAGTACATGGGTAGTAGCCTTGCTACGGCCATTCCATGGAGTTGGTGACCCTGTAATTAGTTATTGAAAACTAATGCTTCCAAGACAAGATAGTATTTTTGGAGATCCTATCAATTTTCAAAGGCAGCTCTTCTTTTCTTTTTTGCTTCTCTCGAAATAACTTATTTATTAAGGCGCTTAAAGGGACACTACAGACAAACGTTAAGTCAACGTCGATTGCTGAAATAGCGTTCTGAAAACTTCTTCGTGCTTTTTTATGCCAAGAAAATGCTTATCTCGATATAAAAATGTGTTTTGGTGGTCCACAGAGTGTTAGCAGGCATCAACTCTCCCACTTGAACCTTCCGACGTTACAGCTGCCTTTCCCAACATTACCTGCCTGTGCTGCATGGCAGCCAACATTGCGGTTTCTTGCACATGCAGCACAACAAGGGCCATTGACTGATACAATACAGAGCTTACTTCGGCCAGCGGCGAGAAGCTGTAGTAGAAAAGTAGCGAGACCCACAGCAGTAACAGCGACTATCGAAGCTTGCCGCAGTGGGTCTCCAGGCTTGGCATTCAGCTACTTCGAGCTATTTTGTGGCACTCATTGGAAAGCCACATAGATTTTTTTTAGGGGCGAAGCTCCTTATAGCGGCACCCGTTCGTCCCCCGTAGTATGTAACAAGTATAACATTTTGACCTTCAAGGTGGTGTCGGTGAGAGACTTCTTCTGTGCGTTGTTGAACAATAAAAAATAGTGCTCAATGTACATGTCAATGGCTGCTAATGGGGAATGAGAGACAGGAGCATTCAGCTTTTAGTTAATGCGCAGGCTGCGATCACCATTAGCAGCTGTTGGCATGTACATTGAGCACTGTCTGACAAGAAAGGGTTGCTACGTTATACTCGCTGGGTTTAACCTCCTTAGCTTTAGAAAGGTTTAGCGAGCATTGAGCTGCAGTGCCATGAATACAATGAACTTGTATATACCATGAATGAACTCGAGGTGGTTAAAAATGGGAAGTAGATACGAAGCGCAAGCCGTAAGAAAGTAAAAGCCGAATTCTCCGCCTCTCATTTCCCATTAGCAGCCATTGGCATGTACATTGAGCACTATCTGACTGAAAAACTTTGCTACGTCATACTCGCTGGGCGTAACATCCTTGGTTTTCGAAAGGTTTAGCGAGCGTTCGGCCGCAGTGCCATGAATACAGTGAACTAGTATATACCATGAACTCGAGGTGGTTAAAGGTGGGAAGTGGACCTGAAGCGCAAGCCGTTAGAAAGTGTGCGTGTGCCACCTCTCGTTTAGTCCTTGGAATGTTCGCTGGATGGCGGTGCTTCTATATGGGGAATATATGATGAAAAGATGCGAGATGGTGGTACTAGGAGTGTTGAATAGATGGACGAACAGACACATAGACAGATGCATGGATGGACGCAGGGGCGGCTGCATGTACGGACGCAGGGGCGACTGTATGGACGAACGCAGGGACGCACGCACGAACAGACGCACGCACGGACGGGCTGATGGACGCATGGACGGTCACACTGACGGACGCATGGGCGGACAGAAGCAAGAACGAATGGACGGACGAATTCTTCGCCCCACTCTCCATCATTCACTCCGTGGATATGCTGCCATATTTTTTTCTGCTGTTGCTCAAGCGGCATACATCATTTGGGTGTCCAACAACACTACACAGATGCAGCATTTCGTTGAACTTATCGTGAGAGTGGCTCTTATGAATGCGTGAATGTGTAAAGCACATGCAGTAATACATAACTAGCACTGAGGCTCGACCTTGTAAGTTGAACGCAGCCTGGTGAAAATGAAACTTTTGAGCTACCCACGCTGTTCTCCATGGTAGAGCTAAGCAGTTATTTTTTGTTGTATCAAACAGAAACGCGCAAGCAGCATTTTATTACGACTTGTGGTTGCTATAATTTCGTGGAATTGACTGGGGGGGGCAGTAATGGAAGCGTCTCCGTCCACCCGCTGTGATAAAACGGTGCCTTGGCCCTGTGATGATGCGGGTTTAGCTGCACATTTGTCAAAATTCTTCACTGGCTCAAGGGACATATGGAGGAAGCCTTGCTTGGTCTTTGGCTGTGTGTCACTGACATAATACATGACATCATGTCATGTTGCTGCAGGGGGCGTAATCATAATGGCGGGCAACGCTTATTTCACTTCTCTGACAAGAAAGTTGGGAAAGACTGAACGAGAAACTGAAACCAGCCAAAATGAGTTATTCTATACTCTGTGAACTCCTTATTACAGCACTTATTCGCAAAGTTCTTGCAGCAGCATGTTCACATTGCTCAAGTGTGCAGCTATCACTTCATCGCACATTTTGCACCATGTGGTTTCTTACTAGCTCCTGAAAGAAGACCTTTACAGTTTTGTGCTGTCCTGGTGGCTCCCTAATCTCTCAGTACAAGAGAAGATCAGTGTGTTTTCAATAGCTATCCTAATAATATTTTATTTTCGTTATCGTGTAATACTTTGGCCAGTCATTGGAAAGCATGGCTTCATACAAATACATTGAAAAATGTATTGAATAATTCAGCTATTTCTTTTGTTGGTAAGTGGACCTCCAGTCACATACTTTGTGAGAATACTTTTGGCACAATTATGTAGAATGTATGCAATTAACTCGCAAAGAGTGAGAATGCACACCACATTTTGATCATGCAACCTTTATCAAACATGTAAAAACAGAAAGAGAAATAATAGGGGCAGATTACATTAGAATCCAGATTTCAACTGTGTAAGTACTCCAAGAGCGCACATAACTGATAAAGAAACGCAGCTTTTGTTTCCTATGATGTATTTTGATTCGCTGATAAGATATGCGTACGTATAAAAAACTGGCTTTGCACTTTTCAGTAAGTTAGTGGGAAGCCAGTGCCAGTCTTAATCATTTGTGTGTCTTCTCATGTCCTTGTTTTTTTTGGGGCTCTACATACTTATCGTGTTTATAGGGCTAGGTTACTGAATGTACTATGTGTCCCAGATCTGTTGCTGGCCTAGCATATTTCTCTTTTCAGCTATACAGCTGCACAACCAGCTGCAAGCAAGGTCAGCAGGATTGGAGAATTTTGCGGATCTTGCTGCCAATATGGCCGGATTGAAACTTATACGAATACCTGGTGAGTTCTTGGTGGTGACATTCAGCTGGTGCTTCAGCACCATTCAAAGCGGTTGCATGCTTGACCCATATTTCGAAACTTTGAGAGAAAGGCACTGGCAGAACTGGATTTCAACTTTACTTGACAAAAGCAACAGTTCATTCATTATTCTAGCGTACCCAAACTGCAGACTGCAAAGAACACATAGGAGCTGTGTGGTTCAATCTGGTGTGTAATTCGTGTTTGCTAGAATAATGGATGCATTAGTTCAGTACTGATTAACCCTACTAAAAGTATCAGCAGCAAAGCGAGGCCATTTCTGCATAGCTGTATTTGTTACTGCCCCATAATGGCAGTGGGGGGTCTCGTTGAGCAGGCATTACAATAACATTGTAGCATACAGAGTTCGCATCACGACCACACTTTTTTTGCGGTCAGATGAAACACCTTGGCGGGCAATACCTGTCCAGTTATAACTAGCGAAACCTATGCTTGTTAAGCCAAGTAATACATTCATTAATAGCCCGGTACCCCTGTCACATGGCACATGTTATGTAATTCACAGTGAACGATATTCATAATGAATGTCATTCTGATATTCAGTTCTGCATTCACAGGGCTATACAAAATCTCTATTGCAGCAAGTGTCACTGTTTATGGGCAGGCTGCTATGATAACAAACCGCTACACATCGTGCCTTTAATTTACACATTTTCTCATTATCGAAGTAATACAATGGTAAGTATAGTGATACTACTTCAAAATATACTGGGATGTGATTCAACACCATCAGTAGAAAAGAAATCATTATACATATCCAAAGCAAGACAGTCCCAAAACTGCTCACAATTTCTGCAGATAGCAGTATTATAGTAGTGCCTAGAATTTACAGGTTAGGGTGCCTTGTACCCACCCTTTTCAATAGAGGAGGGTGGCACCCGTTCGGATGAATGCTCGTGCTGGCCACACATCTGTGTAGAGCACGTGAGCAGCCGGTTTTTGCTGAGCAGGGCGAAACCTTGGGTTAGTATCTGACTCTGAAGTGGTCTCTCAGGAGCATGCGTGGCCTAGTTGCCAGGCTGACCAAGCCAGAGCACAATACTGCCTCCCGGTTTTGCCCCAGAGAGCAAAGACCGACTGCTCGCATGCTCTACACAGACGTGGCTGGCGCTGTACATTTTCTCTAGCGCCCATTTCTCGGCAACGCACAAAACTGGCACGCGGTTGCAAAAAGCTTTCATGTGTAAGACATGAAGGAATGGGCACTTCAATGGCAGACATACCAAAAATGAACATCACCACCCTGCGTGAAGTGGTGAGGGGAGAGAAGCTTCAAGGCACCCTAGATGGGTGTAGGGTTTACTGTGAAAGCTACCTTTAGGTGGCAGAGTTGCGTCATCTTGGGCTCATTTGCTATGCTGTTAAGACACTCTCCGTCTGTGTAAGAGCTGCACTCGCACGACGTTGCGGCAACTTTTCATACATTTTTTTATTGTTGTCTTTCTTTTCTTCGTGTCAGTAAAATTTGATTGCTCAGTTGGTTTCTATGGCTTCAATTTTATGCTATTACTAGGCTGACTTTTACAGCTTTAATTGTATGCCGATGCTGGTGGAATGTAATTGCAGTATCAAATAGTGCATGTGACAAGTATACACACTGCTGCTATAACTCTACAAAATTTTCTATCTTCGTACTTCCATACCTGATCAAGCCAGATCATCATGCCACCTCTCAGTCGCGATTGCTCCCTTATGCTACTCGTGGAAAAAATGCTACCCGTGGAAAAAGGAAAGTTGTGGTGGAGAACTTTGAACTGAATCAGACTCAGTAGTGATCGAAAGTGGCCGTGCATTGGCCATAGTTAGCGTGAATGCACTTTTGGCTTGATAAATCTAAAAAAAATGGCATGATTCAACAGCACTGTCGTGTCCAACATTGCTTGTGCTTAAAACATGAGATCTGAGTTCAATCAAAGTAACTAAAGAGAGCTATTGTGTGCACTCTTAAATTGTTTGCATTGCACCAGCTGCACCACGGTGTTGATTCGAATAATTCCAGTAAGGCCAATTTACTGGTCACTTTTACATGTCATGGTATTGCAGTAATCGGTATTGCAGTAATCGGTATACAGTAATCATTATTGCAAGAAAGTGAAACGTGTCCTCGCAGAGGTAGTTGAGTGTTCATTGTGCATTGTTTCGCCAAAAAGGCGAAGGAATGAATGCTACAGCAACAAATTGCAATGTCACGCGAAGAACGAAAAGCAGCTCGAAACTTGCAGCACACAGCTCAAGCAGAAAGCACACACGAAATAAGCATATGCAGGACGAGTGTGAACAAACAACTGTCACAGCTTGGCACTAGCTCAAACAGAAAGAAAGACACACGAAATGAATGCACAGGTATACACAGGAGGAGCACAAACAACTGGCACAATTCTTACTTCATGTTTGAGCAGCCCGCTTCTTTCGTAAACGTGGCTGCGGCAGCAGGCAAAGTATTGTTCGTGCTCTCTTTAACTACTGTAACTTCAAAGCAAGCTCGCTGTGGAAGCAAAAGAGGTACAATACGTCGGAATCCTGAGATAAGCATGCGTGCGAGTGAGTCACCACCGCTAGACAACATCTATACGCACTTTGACCATACCATGTGGAGGGGCGCGCGCATAACAACTTGCAGGCTGGCGGTGCTTATGTATATTAGAGTTATTGTATTTCATTAAAATAAGGTAGTTTTAATTTGCTTCATCAAAAAAAGAAATTCTGGTGCAAGCAACATTACAACTGAAATTAGGTTTTCCCTTTGCCTGCGTTGAAAGAGCGGAGGTCGACACTCGAAGATAAGCTGCAATATGAGCTTCTCACTGAAGCGACAACCTCTAAATAATAGTTTACAATGAAAACAAATCCTTTAAACCTCTGATCAATTTTCACGACAAGAACTGAGCTACTGCTATCGCTTCATAGAAACAAAAAATGCTGATGCTGTACAAACACGGCTGACTATGAGAAGCGGGCGGCACAACGGCACCCATTTGCACTGCAGCACTCCAAGCAGCAGCCGTTGGTATTAATGCCATCTGGGGCCACCTAGAAGGCTGCGGACGGCACCCTATTGTATGCACTATAGCAGTACAGTGGACTTGCTGGCTAACAGAGTGGAATGACAGGCAAATAGACATTACATCTGTGCATATATATGTTCTCTGCTACAAGTGCTATGGTTGCTATCAGTGCCACTGCGGTGCTGCTTTTTCAAAACAGTAGTTAGTGTTTGCAAACATGACAGTGCAAGAAGGCAGTACTGTGTGATGTCACTGCACATTAAAGAACACCAGAGGGTCAAAAGAACAGGGTTACAGTATTCTGGTATGAAATTAATCATATTAGAGGCTCATTTGAGCAACAGTTCTATTTATAAAAGATTTCTGTCTACTGAGAGTGTACTGCACAGATACAAGTTAAGATAACCTCAAATCAACCAAGTCCATCCCATAACTAACATAGTTCAGGTCCGTCTATCACACAATCTGCCGAGAATGGAGAGAGCGATTTCTAGCTGTCTTTGAAACATGACCAAATTTTTCACTGCATGCAGCGCTACAATGTTCATGCGAGCCACGACTCCCAATTGCCATTATTTTCTGACCATGTTCAAAAAGTGTTGCGGGGTGCCTTTGAAAAGCCACTGTTCAAAATTTATCCTGACTCCCCCCTCCTCTAATGTGCCTCATAATTGTAATTATGGCCTTAAACTTTTCATCACAGGGCGTGGCTACCGGATCTGCCTTACCTTACTGGACCCACGCCAGCCTCAACGCTGCTGCAGCCTCCTGTTGCTTCTTGACAGTGAAGGCAAATACAAAGGCATGTCTACCACCAATGCTTCTTTCAACTGGGCATGGAATTGTGGTCAAGGCTGATCAGAGCTTAGAAAAATGCTTGTCGGTGCATCGGCTTCAACACACCCCTGTTTAAAATTTTTTAATTGCAAGCTTCCATCCTCCCCTTCCTGCCTCCCCTTCCCCCCCCCCCCCCCTTTTTGAGACAGGTCAGTGATAAACAGGCCATAGCTATCTGTGGCATGCTGCTGCAAGAGACGTGATATGCCATGACTAATACGCGCCCAGTAACAGATTGCAGCAAAAAAATGCCAGACCAACTTTCTTTTGTTTGTGTACCTTTGAAAAACTTTCCCTCAACAGGCCGCATTTAATGTTTTGTGTAGACAGTAGAGTGTTGTACGGCACCATTTAAGGTGTTTTACTGCAATAAATAGTGTAGGAATTGTTACTCCTTTGCTCCGGCAAGGAAACAGAATTTGCACCTGAGCAAAACTATTTGCCTTGTCTTCCTATTTTTCTTTATGTGTTTCTAACGACAACAATGAATGGTTAAAACTGTATGCCATGCGTGGCGACCCGAAAAAGTCTGCGTTGTATGTACCTCAGTACTGGAAATCGCACAAAAATAAACAAGAAACAAGACCGTGCATTAACTACTAATGTGGCAGTTTTTGTAGTGAACAAGAATAGAAACACATTCTGGAGGAGATGAGGGTAGCAGCTGCCACTCCCTTAAAGCGCTACTCCTTTGAAAAGCAATGTCAAACATTTTTGTGTCATGCCGTCATTTGATAAGTTGTAGGTACAATAGACTGTCACCCTTGTTTGTATTTTTTCCACTTTGCCAAACCAGCAGCTTCATAGTTGATCAGCCCATCAGAGAAATCTAAGTTTTATTTAGGTCTGAATTCGCTTGCTACCTGCCACAAGCTTTGGCTTATGGTTTACTAATATATTTACTACTAGAGGTAATTTCGGTGCTGCAATCATTCAGCCCCCATGGGAATGATGAGGGTCACATTTGCTGAAGTCAATCTTGTGAAAAAGCAACTCCAGGTCACATCGGGCCAAATGGAGCCAAAAGAACAAAGCCTAGACCAATTCATCTACTACCTATTATTTCCGTCCTAGCTGGAGAGTGCCACGTGTTGCAGCTTCCATTGATACTTAAACATGATTATCCCCTAAAGTATTACAAGGAAACTCTATGAAAAATGGTTGTAAAGCTTTGTTTACTTTAATGTGGTCGGAGAGTGAATTTGGACACTAGGTAAATTATGGTTGAACCATGTTTTTTCAGCGTCCGAGTGTGAACCTGCTCTGGCCAGCTTGGATGAACTTGTGACCGAGCTGCGGCAAACGTGCAACCTGACGCAGTTTGTACATCGTTTACGTCGGGAATTCAAGAAACTCTTGCTTGCACACCCACCTTCTGCAGAGACAGCGCAGATTGAGCACAACGATGCTGTAGCCTCTGCATAGTATCATCTTCCCGAGGTTAAGCCAATTTTGTAATGAAATATTAATGTACTTCAGGACATAATTTCCCTTTCTAACAGTTTCTCGGCGAATGCTTTTGTATCGATAAGTTCTTTTCAAATTGTAACAGTGCAAGCAGATTACTGCTGCTGCCAAACCATTCGAGTACTTTATTCAAGACAACTCTGCTGTTGTGGACAAAACATATCAGTAAAGTGTTATCAGGCTAGCCAATGCACTACCTTCAAAATTGATTTTAAACGTTGGAGTCCACTTCAGAATTTCATCAAAATATCTATATGTGTCAACTTCTGTGAACAAACAGTGGTACGTGTGCATAGAACAATGGTATTCTTCTCAAAGTTCCTTCAGCGGTGTATTCTTACATTTTTTTTATACGTTCACTTTAAATTCATAAGGGTCTTTTAGTTATGCAGATTTATTCAGGAAAAGGAAAGGTCTAGCTTGTTTTTGTGTGACTTATGTTGCACTGCTTGCAACCATGGCATCTACGTTTCTGGGCGCCATGTACTAAACTAGCAAAACCTCACGATAGTACAACCTGCTTTGTTGCCGTGCGACTTTGCATAAAACTTTATCTGTAATATAGCTAAATACACCTTTTGGAAGTAATGTTTAAAATTTGTTGGCTTTTTTCACTGCATGGAATATATGATGAAGACATACATGGTATTATTTCCAGGCGACCAGCTGAAGCAAGTGTTCCAATTTGGAGAGCACCGATAAATAGCACATTTAAGCAGAGCCATCGACAAGCAAAGGCCTATTGAACAATGCTGCTGCTGATGAAAGCATTCAGTTTGATTGCAACTACGAACACATTGGTGATGATGATCAACGGTCGTAAAGACAAGGATGAACACATTGAAGTAGAGCAGTGGCCAAGGAAATGGGCCTTGATTGGTGATAATCATGATGATGATGAAAGCATTGAACATAAAAATTGACACATTGATGATGGTGATAATGAATCAGATTAATGAAAGTGCTGAATTGGAGCCATTAGCAAGTGGCCACATGAATGGTTAGGATAACAATGATTATATTAATTAGCTTATCGAACTGATGACAATGGTGTTAATTATGATAAGTAGTGATAATGACTAATGTGTTCAAACAGAGCCGTCGGCAAGTAAATTTCCCATGTATGATGAAGTATGGTGAGCCTGGCGTAATTTGTGTTCCCGGCGTCCACATATGTTGACACTCGTTGTTTTTTTTTTAAATAAAGCTAAATTTTCCATCCAGGTGTTTAGTTTATTCCTTTTTTTTTTCATATAAATTGTAACAGCATATGTACCAAGAAATATTTACTTGCACAAATGGATTGGCCGTGGGATGCAGAGGGTTTATCACACGACTTGGATAAAAATAGGAACTCATGCAGATCCTTTTTTGGGAGTTACCGAGGTTATAAGTAAGCATATAGACTGTAGTTCACAGCTTTCCTTAGAACACTGTTTTTGAGTCTCATGGACACTCCTTTTTTTTAGTATTTATCAGTGTCTTGAATAGCCTCTTGAAAGGCACATACTGCAACCACCAGAATGCATGTTTGAGATAAGTTTCATTGCGATAGCAACTATATGGACACTCTCGGTTGATTTTGCTTGCACTTTTGAAACGTCTCACTGCTTCGTTTTCACAACAGTACATCTCATCATGAACATTGCGGACCGACATAACGAACTTCTGCCTGCACAACTTTCGTGCGGTGTGCCTAAAGGTGATAGTTACTAGAGATTTCAACGTTAATGCACTTTAACGTGAAAACCAGTGGGTTGTCACGTTTCTGGATGCCAAACTAGGACTTTGCGTGCTGTTGGACATCACGCAGCCAACTATTCAGAACAACAGCTGTTTAGATACTGTGGTTACTGCATTACTGCCAATTCAAGCACAATTGATCATGTTGACTATATTTCGTACTGTTCCTAAATCTTTTAGCCTTACTTCATATAACAGTCATATGTGTTGCTATCGCATTGATTGCTTCGGCCTTGAGCCGAAACTGTGACTTTTCTTTTTTTTTTTGCAAAGCCAGAAGTTTCTTTCATGTCTAGTTAAAGGGGCCCTGCAAAACTTTTTGAGCATGGTCAGAAAACGATGCCGATCGGTACTAGAGACTTCCCGACAACACGCGAGTCAAATATTACAGCGTAGCACGCGGCCTGGAATTCACTATAAATTATCAATGTCGGCTCAAAATTGCTTTCTCTTTTCTCGAAAAATCACGCAATAAGCCCAATGATCACACGTAGTAAGGCCATTTATCAGCCATTGGCTGATTTGAACATGGCGCGCTCACTCGTTACAGAGATCGCCGCTGGAGACCACTACTTGTCCACGCGTATGGGTGCGATCACACAGGAAAAGTCGCGCACTCGAAGGGGAAAAAAAAAAAGGGAAAACGTACTCAAGGTCACGAGGTGCACGTGACATATTTTGTTTGCCCCACCCTTTCCTTCCTGCTTAGCTTCCAGCGCTTTCGTCGGGACAAGAGACGAAAGAATGCGATTGCAGAGCGTGACAAATCTTTGCAACTCCTCTCGTACTGGACGGATTATAAAAATTTTTGCTGCATTGAATTCGTGAGGCAATAAACTCTTCCAGTTAATCTATTCCATGGTTACTAGAAAAAGTATTTCAGGGCCCCTTTAATGTGTTGTCCTGAAGTAGAGTTTGATTTTGCTACCATAAAGTTTAACAAAACCTTCATAAAAAGTAATCTTACACCTTTTTCTTTCACAGTTAGCATAAGGCATTGATGTGCTTCAGATACATTCACAATTTGTGAGCATTGGTGTGGAGACTAGCTTCAAACCGCGTGCTCCAAAAAAATTTTTTGTTTTATACTTTTGTACATTTATTGATATTATTGATGACAGAGGAATGGACGTGGATGGGCATTTTTATTGTTGAGCTGTCATAGAAATGCTTACACATATAGCACTCTTTAGGATCCAGAGTGTTCCTGAAGGCGATCTGGCTATGTACAAAGAATGTTTAACCTAGCATTGTACTGCTGAGAAGCTGCAAACTTAGACAACTAACCAGGGATTTTCGCTTGTGATGTCAGTCTTTCCAGCAAGCTTATTGTAGTGACAAATACGGGCTCTAAGAACGATGAAGAAGACGTTTTGTATTGGCGGAGGCTCGTGCTGCTGCAGCTGCTGCTGAAACCGCTTGTTGCTGTCTCGGTGCTGTTAGGCCCAATAAACGGTTGCTCTACCCCAGCGTGCGTCTAGCAGTATTCTTACATTTGGTGGAGAGTGCTGGTTGTCTCAAACTGGAACTCCGTTCCCGGACTCTACCTCAGCCCCTCGCCTCGTCAATGCCTGACAACATGACCCAGCCCCCTGCAGTGATAATTCCATCTGTCACCTGTTCCGGAATGCCACGACAGCGAGATCCAGTGATTTTCAACGCGACCGATGACCAAGACGCCGAAGACTGGCTGTCGCAGTATGAAGCGGTAAGTGCCCACAATAAGTGGGATGACACAGACAAGCTCGCTTACCTCAATTTCTATTTCGCGGGTGTGGCGGGACTGTGGTTTAACAACCACAAAGCGGAAATACCCTCTTGGCCTACCTTCAAGATGCACTTCGCAGAAGTCTTGGCCGACCCGCTGTTCGCAAGCTCTGTGTCGAACAGCGCCTGCGCTGCCGCGCACAGCGCTCAGGCGAGACCTTTACTTCGTATATTGAGGATGTTTTGGACCTCTGCCATCGTATCGAATCAGAAATATCTGACACTGACAAAATACGGCACATCATGAAAGGTATTGAGGACAATGCCTTTCACATGCTCGTTGCGAAAAACCCGCAAACCGTCGCCCAGCTTATTCAGCACTGTCAGAGTTTCGACGAGCTGCGGAGAGAGCGGATTTGTACTCGACGTCCCAACTTCGACACGACCTCTACATTTGAGTTAACCATTGGCGCTGTTTCCTCCGAACAAACCACGTTAATGAAGCAAATCCAGTAGTTTGTCCGAGAAGAAGTTTCGCGCCAATTGTCTCTTGTGCCGTACGTCCCAACCAGTGAGCACATGCTGACCCCAACGCTCCGCAAGGCAATCGAAGAGCAAGTTTCTGACGCCCTGTCTCCCACATACAATCCTCCGCCCCTCTCACTTACGCTGAAGCCGCCAGACGATCGCCGCCGTCGCTACCAACCATCACGAATCTTGCTAGACAGCCCCGTCCCCTCTACGCAGCAAGTCCTCCTATCTGTCGCCACCCACCTCCTGTTCACCACCCCACACCACCATCAACAAACCATTGGCGCACTCCAGACAATAGGCCAATTTGCTATTTCTGCCAGCTTCCTGGTCATGTAGCATGCTACTGCCGTCGTCGGGATTACAACCCAACTGCTGGTAAGGTGACTTACGGCTCCTATCGTCCAGAGCCACCACAGCAATCTTCATTCCACCCCACGTCGTATCAGTCGCCGCGACTTCGACAGGAATCGGTCGCCCTCACCACGGTGCCGCTTTATTTCTCCAATGCTTCCTCGATCACCACCCGCCCAAACGGAAAACTGACCATCGCAGTTCCCAAGGCAAGAGCTGCGCATATATCGAAACCTTCAAGGCCTCCGTTTTTACCTGCTAATGAAATAACTGTGCATATTGATGGTGTACCTGCGAAAGCGCTCGTTGATACTGGTGCTGCCGTGTCTGTGTTAAGTGGTGAACTGTGCCGCAAGTTGAAGAAGCTTACGCTGCAGCTTACCGATGTCTCTCTCAGCACGGCCACTGCGCATAACATCCAACCTTCTGCTGCGTGCACAACTCGACTGGTCATCCAAAATATTTTGTATGTAGTCGAATTCGTTGTGTTTTTCCCATGTCCACATGATATCATCTTAGGCTGGGACTTCCTCTGCGCTCATTATGCCGTCGTTCACTGTGCGCGTGCCGAACTAGTTTTCGACGATGTGTGAAGCGCCCCTGTGTGAAGCGCCGACGTATGAAGGACCTTCTTTCAAGCCGCTATCTTCCCGAGTCACCGTAGCCGCGGACACTCACATCCCTCATCTATCCTGTGTTCATGTGCCACTCTTCTGCGATGACGCACCCTCTGTCACCGCCCTCTTTATCCCCTCCGACACCTTCGGCTCTCGCAACAGCTTCCTTCTCCCGTTCGCAGTTGTCACCGTAGAAAACTCACGTGGCTCCATTTATATAACGAACTCGCTTCCTTCTCCGGCCATATTATTCCGTGGCGAACTCCTCGGTCGCCTTGAGGAAATCGATTCTGTTTCATCTAGTCACTTACCTGATGACTTGTCATCATCTCACTTAAACACCATTACCTCTGATACCACCCCCACTTCATCTCCGGAGGTTTTTTCCCCCATCCATTGACCCTAAACTTCCCGTTGCTCAGCGCACCCAACTCCTGGCTTTACTTGATCGCTTCAAGATGTCATTTGACCATAGCCAACCTTCTTTGGGTCGCACGTCTGCCATCGTTCACAAAATCGACACCGGTAGCCATGCACCTTTGCGCCAGCGCCCATATCGAGTTTCTCACGCTGAACGCCGTGCCATTGATGATCAGGTTAACGATATGCTTCGACGTGGTGTGATAAAACCTTCAAACAGGCCTTGGGCCTCTCCGGTTGTACTGGTGAAAAAAAAGGACGGTGGCATCAGATTTTGGGTTGATTACAGGCGTCTTAACAAGATCACCAGAAAAGATGTTTATCCGCTGCCCAGAATCGATGACGCCCTCGATTGCTTGCAAGGAGCAGAGTTCTTTTCTTCTTTAGATCTTCGATCCGGCTACTGGCAGGTCCCTATGAATGAAGCCGACTGCTCCAAGACTGCGTTTGTAACGCCTGACGAATTGTACGAGTTTAACGTCATGCCATTTGGCCTCTGTAATGCGCCTGCCACCTTCGAGCGTCTCATGGACAACATCCTTAGAGGCTTTAAATGGAACACATGCCTGTGCTATTTGGATGACGTCGTCGTTTTTTCGAAGGACTTCTTCTCCCACCTCAGCCGTCTAGCAAGCGTCCTGACTTGTCTTTCGAACGCTGGACTGCAGCTGAATTTGAAGAAATGCCACTTCGCTGCCCGCCAGCTTATCATCTTAGGGCATGTTGTTAGCCAGCATGGTGTCCGTCCTCATCAAGCCAAGCTTCGCGCTGTCGCCGACTTTCCCAGGCCGGCTACACTAAAGGAACTCCGCAGCTTCATCGGGCTCTGCTGATATTTTCGCCGTTTTGTG